TTATAAAAATTTTGTAAAAATGTTATTGTGGTTTTAACTTGCATTTTCCTGAGTTTTCTTTTGAAGTGTATTTGACACCTTTGACATTGTTTCAATAATGGCCTTGCCCTCCTATGTGTTTCCTGTCCATCTCTTTTGCCACTTATTATTGACTGTTGCCTTTTTGGTTGTTTTTCATCAATTTGTAGGATGCCTTTATTTATTCTAGAACTTATATCATCTCCTTATTTATTCAGATTTTGTTCTATAGATTATTTCATATAGACAACTTACCTATGATACTAATTTTGTTTCTAGGTATTTGTAGTTTTGTGACAATTAGGATGTTTTCTTTTTAACTGAGAAGTAGAGTATGTCCCAAAAAAGTGCAAGAAAATATAAATGTACACTTCAATGAATTAACCCCAAGCACACATCGAAGTAACCACTTTCAGATCAGCAAATGTCACCAGCACTCAAAATATGCCCTGCCATTCCATCTCCACATTGCTATCCCTTTCTTAACTTTGAACAGTATATAGTCATCCTTTTTGTGTGTTTTACTTTTTTTATTGAACTATGCACAAAAGGGTAAGATGATGTCTATTCTTTTATATCTGTTTAGGGGCAAAATTATGTATTTCAGGTTCATGTTACATACATCTGGTTTCTCTGTTTTCACTGTTCTATTTATCCATTCAGTTGTTAATGGACATAAAGATTGCTTTTAGTTTAGGATTATTACATATGTAGTTACTGTGATTTTGATTTGTGTTTATCTAATAATTAGTTATTGAGCATTTTTTATGTGCTTATTGGCCATTCATATATGTTCTTTGAAGAAATGACTATGCAAGTCTTTTGCCCATTTTTGAATAAGTTTTTTTTTTCTAGTTTTAGTTTAGAAGTTCTCCCTATATTCTAGGTACTAAACTCTTATCAGGTATATGATTTGAAAATATTTTCTCCCATTTCATAGGTTGTCTTTTTACTCTGTTGATAGCATTCTTTGATGTGCAAAAGTTTGTAACTTTCTTGAAGTTTAACTTGTCTATTTTTGCTTTTTTTGCCTTGCCTTTGATGTCATATCAAAAAAAAAAAAAATGCCAAATCCAATGTCATGAAGCTTTTGCTTTATGTTGTCTTCCATGAGTTTTATTGTTTGAGTTCTTACATTTGATCCATGTTGAGTTAATTTTTACATATGGTATTAGGTAATGGTCCAACCTCATTGTTTTGCATGTGAATATCCAGTTTTCTCAGCACTGGTTTTTGAAAAGACCATACTCTCCCCACTGAATGATCTTGGACTCTTATATTCAAGGGTTTATTTCTGGGCACTCTATTCTATTTTGTTGGTCTGTATGTCCATCTTTATGCCAGAACCATGCTGTTTAATTACTGTATCTTTATAATGGGTTTTGAAATCCAGAAGTATGAATCTTCCAAATTTGCTATTTTTCAAGATTGTTTTGATTATTTGGGTTCCTTGAGATTTTATATAAGTTTATTCGAATTTTTCTCTTTTGGAAAAAACAATGTCATTGGAGTTTTTATTGAGATTGCATTGACCCTGTAGATCACTTTGGTAAGTATTGACATCTTAACAATTCAAATCTTCCAATTTATGAATGTGAGCTATCTTTCCCTGTATGCAATAGCATACTTACCAATGTCTCCTTATCTATTCCTCCCCTTTATTGATTGATTCTTCACACAAAGCCAGTGTGATCTTTTATAAACCCAAATCATATCATCTCCATGCTTAAAGTACTTTGATGGCTTCCTATTGCTCTTAGCATAAAGACCAAAATTTCTTATCTAATTTAAAATACTCTCGCTGATGTGTTGCTGCTTTCTTTTCTGACCTCATCTCATGACATTTCCCTACTTTGAAGTTTAAGTAACACTTGGTTTATTTTAGTTCCCTGAACATGTCAAGCTTGTCCACTAGGCTCCAAGTTTCATCAGGATGAAATCAAATCTGTCTTGCTGAGTAACCGTTCTCAGGGTCTAACAGAGTGTCTTATATGTAGCCAGGTCCAACACAGATTTATTGAATGAATCAATGACATTTCTTGTGTTTAAATGAAATATAGGGGAGAAACAGAGACCTGAGGGGAAAGAAAAGAGGGGGAAACCAGAGAAGAGGAATAAACACAATGGTAGAAAAAAAATAAGTAAAAGCAAGGAAGAAAAATTACCTTTTTTTTCCCCCCCAGTTAAAATTTAGTCTTTAATGTAGGTATGGCTTACACATCCCTTAATGATTTACCTCTTGACTAAGGTTGAAATTCTCTTCTAGCCATTTGTCCACATTCACTCCAACACTTTGTGCATCTATAGCCCAGAAAGCTACATGCGTTAGTTCCCTATGAAACAATCTGCAATTATTTGCTATATTTTCTCTGACCACTAGAGCTTTGAATTGCTATTCCTTCTGCTGAAATCATTCCTCCCTATCCAAAGTCCAAATCATTTTTTTTAAGCATTTCCTACTAAATCATATGTCTCAGCTTAGATCTTGTTTCCTTCTGAAAGTCATTCCTTATACTATTCTAGTGAGATCATTATTATAGAAATTAAAAAAATAAAAAAATAAAAAAAAAACCCTAACACTGCTCTTGGCACCCAGTGTCAGTTCTTTAAACAGTGAATAATATTGGGGCACCTGGGTGGCTCAGTCTGTTAAGTGTCTGACTCTTGATTTCTGCTCAGGTCATGATCTCAGGGTCCTTGGATCGAGCCCTACATTCAGGCTCTGTGCTCAGCTGGGAGTCTGCTTGAGGATTTCTCTCCCTCTCCCTCTCCTCCTCTCCCCACTCATGCTCTCTTTCTCTCCCTCTCTCTCAAATAAATAAATAATTTTAAAATAATGAATACTATTATTATTGTGGTGATTATTTTTGTTTTTATATAATATTCAAAGAGATGAAGGAAATATGTCTTGTTTCCTCTTAGAATTTATTATTGATCTGTGATTTTACAGTTGAATTTTAGTAGCAAATGTGGGACAAAAAATGATAAAATATATTACATTAACCAAATTCCTACTAATTTTAAGCTATATCCAACTCCTTATTAAGAGTATACAAGGAACATTTGTTTAGTTGAATTAAGAAATTTAATGTTAAAGTATTCATTTGTTTAATGGCAATTAACAGTTATTACACCAGGGATTTATTGTTTGTTGGGAGTTTGCAATGATTAGCAAGACCCATAGTGATGCACATGTCCTGGTACTCAGAAAGAAAGACACTGGTGTGTTCCTTTGAGATCACCCAGATGCAGGAGGAAGTAAGTTACACATAGAGTGATGGCTTGATTACAGAGTGAGTATCTTCATTCCAGAACCTATGCTTTTCTTCACTTGAGGGGAAGACTTCAAAGCAAAATCCTGTCTTATTGACTTTGACAAGAGATATACTTAGAAACAATGGTATGTGCTTGGTTTTCTTCTGAGACAATCAATTTTATTTTCTTTAGGAGGGCAAAGCCCTGAAAGAAACAACCCAAAAACTAATAGAATTTTAGTTATTTTATAAACAGCATAAATTGGCAAAAAATGCTAAAGTCTTTCTCCCGTATATCTGACAGTATTAAAGCACTTCACTTAAAATATGGGATCAATATTTACACAAAGGACAAAGACATACCCAATTAAAGCTGAGCAAACAATACCTTAGATAGTCCCTCACAAATCCAGGTTGGGATTACTTCTACAATTATCATAACTTTAGATCAGTTTCAAAATACTGAATTGATTTGATCATAAATATATAATATACCTTACTTTTCAAAGGAGGGGAAATCAATAATCAAATATATACATCATGTCTACTATGGGGCACATATATGTTACATATAATACATATGCTGTATATTTAAGTGGCTGAGGACATAGCAGTGAACAAAGCAGATGAACATCTCTGCCTTTCTGCAAGTCCAGTCTAATAGAGGTAGAAAAATTAATAAAATTATTAATAAAATAAAATACACACATAAATCATATAATATGTCAGAGTTTTGAGTGGTATGAAAAGAAAAGTAACTAAGTAGGACTGGGGAAGGGGCAGGAAGTGAGAGGTGTGGGGGAGTGTTGTCTGAGAAAGAATGTGAGGGCAGCTTCCGATAAGGTGGACAAGACCTGAAGGTGGTGAGAATGTTGCTGTGAGACCTCTGAAGGAAGAGAAGAGCAAGTGCAAAGACCCAGAGTTGAGATTGTGCCTAACGTGTTTGTTGAATGGTAAGGAAGCTGGTATTGTCAGAGCAGGTTCAGGACTCTAGGAGATATGGTAAGAGAGGGAGAAGGGAGCTAAAATTTTGTAGGGCCTGTGACTAGCATTTACTCTAATGAAATTGTATGTCATTTGTGGGTTTTGCAAGAAAAATGACATGATCTGGATTAATTAAAGTTAGTGACAATGGATGTTTTTGTATTTTCCCCAGCACATTTAGTCACATGGATCCAGGTGGAAAAGCATATTTAACCAGAGTTATAAGTATTGGCAGCCAGGTAAGATGAAGGGAGAGAAGGCAAAGGAATTGAAAAGATGGGCCATGTAATGATTATAATGTAGACAATGGAATCTAACCTAATGAGGAGGGAAGTTTGTGCAACATTCATAGGACCAATAATTGTAGGATTGCTAGAGGTGGGATATCAAGGAAGTGGAGGTTACAAGTGGGCTAATTGAAATTAAGATAGAGCAACATTTATTGTTATGACAAACTCTAAAGAATGACCATGAGAGTAGTTGACAGAGAAAGGATAAAGGACAAAATCAATGGAGGAGAGAGAGGATATCAGGGAACAGAGATGCCAAAACACTGGAAGGGATGTTTATGTGGCTATTGAAATCCTCATTAGTGATCACACAAGCAATGCTGGGAAGAATGACTGAGACAGGAAACTCTTTAAGAAATAAGTGGGGTGACCCAGGGCTTGGTAGATGAGGACAACAAAAAAATTGGTGCATTCCGGTAACACAGCATTAAAAGGGGGATGTTCTTACGTAAAGAAGGAAGGAGAGTCAGTCACCTGGACCAAGCAGCTTCTGAAAGAGCAGAGAGGACACCTAGTTGGAGAGATTGGGAGAAATCTAGTTGGAGGAAAGAGCCCATCTGGGGGTGTGAGGGTTGTGGGGGAAGAAACAGTCCCCACTGGAGAGGGCTGCCAAGTAACCTCAGGGGTGAGACATAATTCAACTCAGTAACAAACTGAAGGCAGAGGGTCAAAGTTAAGTGTGTGTGTCATGGGGAGGGGATGGATTTTATTGATGACCGGCAGAGAATCAGTGACAAAATACCCAATGATCTGTCAACTTCAGAAAGGATGTTTTGTGGTTTGGCCTCCAAGGTTTTATTTTTAAAACCATAAACACTAATCATTTATCATATTTGCACACAAATTTAGAGGTAGGGGCACAAGTGATGCCAAATTTTTATAACTATTCTGAATATAAAATCCTGCAGAGCCCTGGCTTTGTTCCAATTATAGAAATCGTTATTGTGAATTTCCTTTTGATTTTAATTTCATTTTTCAGAAGAGGGGCCATGAGCATAAAAGCCACAATTTATCAAACTGCCTGAAGGGAAAGATGTGAAAAATGTGGATGAAAAACAACCCCTTGGACAGGACAAGAAATGATAATAAGAGGACTTTGAAAAGTTTTTTTACCCAGTTTTCCCAAGGTCCAGGAAGTTTTCTTAGGAGAAATGGTGGTGCCTGAAAACCACATCATTCCTGAGATAGTAGAGACTTCTGGTCAGCATATGTGACTCTAGAGAGAAATAAATAATTTATATTTTAGAAAAACCCTTATTATCTAAAGATGGCTCTTTAATAAAGTCATAGGATAAGCAGGAAATGGACAGATGTCTTTCTTTTCCCAAACTCTTCCTGGACTCAGTGAATAATAAATGGCAGTAACAACATGATTTTAGGAGGGCTTGTGTTTTAGTTCTCATCTCTGTCCAGAATTAGATTATTAGTGTGTGTGTGGAGGAGGCACATACCTTATCTCATCTTTATATGATGTGGGCCAGTACGTTTGTATAATACTCTTTTATTAAAGGTGGAGAATGTTTCATGTTCATCTTTATATCCTTCATATTCTGGAAACAGGGTGGATATTCAAATACTGAATCAATTTGAGAAACATGAAGAGTCCTTATTTTCCAAATTTTACATTTTTCAGTATCTGAGTGAGTACCAGTACCAAGAAAGTTTCAGAGGGCAAAAAGAAAAGAAAATATGTAAAGAAAATGACATAAAAAGTATTCAAGGAGAGTTAAGTAAAGAGAAGCAGCAAAGAGTATAGACGTGTTTGTTGTGAGCACGTGTACCTCCTTGTCCTTTCCTTTCCTACTTACTGTTGCTTCATAGTGAGAAACATTCAACTCTGGGGAGTAGGCAGTGAACATTTTTGAATGTGGATTGAGTGCACTGATGAGTCGTCCACAAAGGAAATTTCAGCCTTTCAGTGTAATGCACGTAAAGACTAGTTTCCTCACGGTCCGGCGCCAACATCCCTGTCACTCACACAACACCTGTCAACCAAGCAGTTCAAAGCATGTGGCATTTGTACTGGGGACTCTCTTGAAATTACCAAAGAGCAGGAGATGGAGAATATACTCTTAACACTTGGGAAAACTTCTAGTACGTGTCCTATCTCTTATTTGGAAGTATCTCCCACAAAGAAGTAGCTCTCCCAAGTGTTTCTTTTTTGTGAACTATCCCGAATTCTACCTTGACTTTTGCTTATGGTAATCTTCTATTTTCCCTTCATTGCCTTTTTCCTACCCCCTCAACTGCTGCAACCTCGATTTACATACAGATATCCAAAGTAAGTCTCTTGGCCAGACCGAATATTCTTTAGCTGAAGTGAGGGTTGTGAGGGTTGTGGGGGAAGAAACAGCTTGTGGAAGCTCAAGCTTTAATATCTTACTCTTGGCCAAATAAATTGTAGTGGGGGCTGAGTGGCAGTAGGTGAGAAAGAGGATTTTTTTTTTTTCTTGATCTTCCAGATTTTCAACTAAAAAACAAGGAAGACATCTTTAGTGCTTTAGTGCTTTACACTAAGCCTGTAAAGTCAAAGGATTTTGCTGGATTTTTATTTTAGTTTAAATTAGGATAGAAATGAAAACTCTTCATGGTTCTCATTCCATATATGGATTAATTCCTTATCCAGATATTCTTTTGCTCCTGCTCCCTATGATCCTTGGGTCTTAGGGATTTTTTCACTGTTATCCCTATGGAAGAGAGGAGGGTACTCAAGGAGAAGCTTCTAACACAGAGCTGCGTAGAAACTTGAGGGTAAAAGGGAGCTACTATTTTCCAGAAGGTCCTTAAAGTGAAACAGACCACAAATTCTCTAATTAGCAAAAGCAGACTCAAGGCAAGCAGGCAGCCTTCTGTTTACTTCAGGACTAGGACGGAGACCAGCTGGCTTTCCCTCAAAGATAACAAATGCTATTTATTGCTGTGTGAAAGAGCCTTGCCAGATTAAGTGTATTTGCAAAAGAAAGAAAAAAAAAGTAAAGTTCATAATGGTGTTTTTTAAACCCTTGAAGAAAAGAGTTTGTTATAAGAAGATGCTTTGGATGTCAAGTTAACTCTGCTGTGTTCCTTTCCTTTCTTAATTACAAAAGGAAAATACTAGTACTTGGTCTACCCCATCGCCCAAATTCGTTGCATCCCATAAGGCAATTTTTGTGAAAGTATTAGAATAAGCTATAGGTTTCCACTTACTTGATACAGGTGTAAAATAGTGTTCTATACCTCTTGATCACTATCATTATTGTTATTAGGTCAGCTTCTTAAAATAAAATTAATAGGAAAAAGGTTTGACTATGGGGCCCCTGTGGAGCACGTGGAGCGATTTACACAACAGTTGAATATTAAATACTCATTTAGAAATCACTTGGATGCAGCAACCACTTTGAGGCTTTTAGGCTGGGGTGGACATTTATATGTATTGTAGTGTTCTCTTTGGGATTTGTATGTGTGATAAAAGAGGCAAACTCCTATACAAATGAACAACTAATGAGATGTACATAATACCAAAAGAAAAAGAGAAAGGAAAAGAATAATCAAAACAACTGATTTCCTAGCAGACCATCTTAAAAACTTAAATAAAAGCAAAATGCAAGCTGAGAGATCACCAAAATAATAGACTATTTCTAGACTTAAAAACCACCTTTTCTATTGAATTAGAACACAAAGGAAACCATTTTAATGTAAACAAAACACTTATGGGCTATACAAAACTTTTGTTTCTGAGAAGGAAATTCCCTTGGTAAGCCAACAAATGTTGGTGTTGGTAGACATCACCAGCAACTGTTCTACGCCAGGCCTTGTCTATCGGACAAGACCTCAGTAATGCTCCTAATTTTCTTCGGGTAGAAGGTACTACTGGGATTTAGATTGGGAAAATTCTTTATTGTGCTTTGGAAATGCTTAGCATCCCTGTCCTTGGGGACACAAGTATCAGGTAGCTCTCCTAGTTATTATGACAAACGAAATTGCCAAAAATATCCCTACAGATTTCCAGTAGCCTGTGGCTAGTGGTAAATCTCACCCCACCTTTCCCAGGTACTACTTCATTTTACACATCAGGAACCAGAGTGTCAAGGACATAAATCGATTCTCCAAAAGCCACAGAGTGGCAGACCTTGGGAAGTAACCTTTCCATCTTGGTGCTTTTCCACTACCTCATGCTGCCTCCTCTCCAAGCCTCCTTAAAGTGCAATCAGAATAACTCTGGAAAATTATGCAACAAACTTTTACCAGAGACTCCCTTTACAGTGGAGATGAGGATACAGCAGTGTAGGGAATTCCACTGTTGTCCTATATATTCTTGTGAAATTTTTGAAAGACACATTAGATTTGTGACTTTAAAAATAAAAATAAGTTCTATTCCATGTCTTTTTTTTTTTTTTGGCTTTTTCTGAGATAGTTTAGAGAACATCTTTGTAATACTCTGTAAAGTATTTCTTCTTCCATTTTTATACATTGAATGAAATGACACAAAATACTGTCCTGATGGTATTATTCTTCTGCACAATCCTTTTCACTCTCTCTGTTCCTTTTAGATATTAAGTGTTCTGAATAGGATTTTCCTTCCATTTGGTTTTCCTTTCTACTTGAGTCTTACTGTTTTTGTTTCCCTCCTCCTGCCATCTTAGCATGTAATGTTGTGGAAGTACTGCCACGTTTCATCTATTGGTTACCCATGTGCTGAAAACTAGCAAAATCATGGCAGGATAAACTAGGCTGGACCATTGTCATTTGAAATACTAATGACAAAATAATTTTTTAAATAACATATCCATAAATGTGGCTCTTCAATAAGTGCAGAAGGCAGACTAGGTTAAGTCATTTCTAATACTACCAATTAAAATACCCATTTTGAAAATCAATAGCATCATTTACTGACAAAAGATCACTAGTTTGTTGTACCAGATTAACACCTCCTTCTTAAGTGGTTATACGTTATAGGTTCAGGTTATATTCTTTGGGGCATTATTCATTTTCTCACACATTTTCTTCAGGAAAGCCTTTACTCCTGTGTAAGTTCAGGTGGGGACTAAGTTGAAATGAAAAGAAACTCAATGTACTACCAAGACCTACCTTCTCCAAATGGGCCAACTTATCTCTCCCTCTTCCCCCCCGTGTCTCCATTTGCTGGGATTTAGCGTCTCCTTTGAATTTATTGTTGTCATAGAAACATGTGTTCCTAGTTGACCTTTTGTTTTTCAAGGAGAAAGATAAACATGCCACCCACTTTGGGGGCCCTATTAGAGGCTATTTCCAGAGACTTGCACCTCCCCAGCTGCAGCGTCTGACATGCTTAGGAGAGCAGCCATCTCCCAGCCTTGTTGGCAGCCACAGGCAGAGAATGGACACCAGCTGTACTAGGGCTGGAGCTTCATGAACCCTTTCCTATTAGGCCACATCCTGTCTGTCTTTGAGGAGTGAAGGAATGTTTCAGGTCAAATAAAGAACAGTCTTATGCAATGTAACTCCCAGGATTAACCTTCTGAAAACTACAGAAGGCAGGCCACCTGAGGTGAGGGGTAAGTAATAAAATATGTCCAACTGGACATAATGGAAATATACTGCATGTTATAGATTAGAATGCTTAAAGGGAAGAGAATTAGCTTATGCTGAGGTTTATAAGTCCTGCATACTCTAAATGGAATTTAGATTTGGAAGGCACTTTGGGTATGGAGGCTTAAAATATGGACCCACATCACAGCAGGGTTGCATCTAGCGTTATCTTAAGTCTTTGTGTAGAGTTTTTAAGAGGCGCCACCTCTGGGGAGATGCTACCGGGTGCGGTCGTGTAAAATGTCATCTGCACAAGTATACGAGGGAGCCCTGCTCATTTATCTGTCTGTATGCTTGGCATCTTGACTTAGATGTTCCAGAAACACCTCAGGCTTAACAGAGATCTCTTGATTCTTTCCACAAACCTGTTTCTCCTCCATATCCTTCCCCATTTCAGTAAATGGGAGGCAAAAAGACACTGTTGTTTAAACCACCGTTGAGGTCATTCTAGAGCTTTTTCCATCTCCTTGTGAACCCCCATCCCTTTTGTCACATGTAAAGTGGCAGGAAGTCCATCAATCTCACCTCCAGAGCCCTTTTGGAATATGCTTTCTTCTCAGTTTCCACTGCCATTCCCAGTGTAAGCCACCATCCCCTCCCAGTGGGCCTCCAAAGCAGCCTCCAGTTCGTCCCTCAGCTGCCATTGGTTCTGCTAACACATGCCATTCT